GAAAATTCCAAAGTTTCGAATCGTATCGAGTAATTTATGCGAAAAGAGATTAGAGTAAGGAGAATTTTAATGCCGATATGCGAAAAGGGGGGGGAGGAGGATAAAAAGTTGAATTCAGTATTCTGTATATGTATATTCAAAGCTTCGTTATATAGAGCATGTTAACTTTTTAATTAGAAGCGTTAGCGATATTTCTTCTTCAATCTATCTTATTTTATCCGTTTCTTCTTCTTGATCACTTGACCGTTTTCGTCGTCGCACGAATGTACCTACGTTTAAGTTAAAAGAAAGAAAAAAGAAAAAAAAAAGGATAAATAGGTAAATCGTATGGAAATCACGTTTATATTCATTTATTATTGTTATTATTAAGTAACTCTCTCTCTTCTCTCTCTCTCTCTCTCTCTCTCTCTTTCTCTCTCACCACCACCCCCGAAATGTAAATAATTCTCTCTCTTAGCCATTCTCACTCTATTCTCGCCTTAATTATAAGTAATATCAAAACGTTCACACTTGTACGAATGTAGACTCGTTGAAATAAAGTGTACGTTGTATATTTTTTTGTACACGCGTCCACGTTTTATTCGAATACTCGTTGTACACATCGTTGTTCTTGTCTAGCAACTTTTTTTTCCTTTTCAACTTAGAATATATAACGAATAAATTTTTGCGAATAAATTATAGAAAAATGATTTTTCATAATTACAGAAGGATAATAATCGTTTCAATTGTACGGTGGTTACAACAATAGATGATCTAATTTAAAGCGTAATTCAGGAAGGAAACGACCATGTATCCGGTTTCCTTTTATATCGATAAAAAATTAATTATTCTTAATTATTCTTAATATGAACGAAACGATGATTCCAGATAACTTGCAGAATTCGACGACGAATGTAATTTAAAGATTGTTATTGGCACTGAAACAGAAAGGAGAAGATAATTCGTATAATTCTATTTCTTTGCTTTTCTTAAAATGAAAAAAAAAATAAAAGGGGCGTTACCAGTGGGGCAATTCATCAGGATCCAGACAGCTCAGGCTCACGGAATCGAAGAGTTTTCCATCACCGCAGGTAAGTAAACGCGGATTGCCATCAACGCAGGTGATCAATCTTCCACAGTCTCCGGGTACGGGGAATCTAAAAAATAATTAAATATTCTTATACAAATATCGAATACTAAATTTCTATTAAATTAGCCAAATATATATATATATATATATATATATATATATATATATATATATACTTACTTA